CTGCTGTGTGCACAGAGCCCTGTGCACTGGGGAAACATGGCAAACAGCTCAGCTCCTGCCCAGCCTCCCAGGTGTGTGTGCGAAGGCCGTGGGGTGAGGGCTGGGCTCTCTCTGCCAGACCAGCTGCCTGCAGGGCCATAGCTCATATGGTGGGCCAGCACATACAGTGGTGAAAATCAGAATTTTGTAGTGATTTTCAGTATTCTTTACCAGAAATTACTCCTACAAAAATATTCACTTTTTCAAAGCAGACTTTCCTTCAAATTTAACTTTTGAGGACAATTGTCCAAATTTATCATTAATTTTTGTAAAAACATAATAGAAGGGAAAGACCTGCTCCTGTCTTCCCCCCAAGCCTCAGAGTGGAAGGTAATATTCTTTGCCTGACTCCTGTCTCTCATCCAAAAAGACAGAAGTAGCAGGTGTTAAAGGACTTTGATCAACTAGAATTTTTTAATGAGTTAAGTCATTGAAAAATGAATTTAATTCTATGTAATTTTTTACAAAATACTTTGTCGTAAGTGTTTCCCTCCACGTCCTGCGTGGTTCAGGGTTCGGGTCTGGAAGTGGAGCCGCACACAAATGAAATAGAAAAGACACAAGATAATTTGGGAATATGGGGGACCAGGCGAGCAAGTCCAACTCAAGAGGAAGGACTTCCACTGTGCTCAGGCCTCACCAAGCTTTTATAGTGAGAGGTAAACAAGGTAGTGATTACCATAGTTACACAGTTCTTGTGAGTTTCACTTGTTTTGACCATGGTTACACTTCCTGCACTTCCTCATCCCATTAGCTTCCCAGATAAGATCTAGGGAGTGTTATAAGGTCAAGCCTAATTATGCTAAGAGGAATGTGCCCTCTAATGCTAGGACTTGTTTGTGACTTTGCCAGCAGGCCAGTCCGAGGCTTAACCCTATATCAGTTTCCCACATCTCACCCTTTTTTTATTATTAAGCTACTATAACTTACACATCAAGAACAAAACTCTGGCTATAAAAACAATAACAATGCCAATCCTGCTTGCTGCACGGGAGTCGCTGTCCAGCCCTCCTGCTCGCTTGCGTGACCTCCTCCCGTGGACCGGGCTTCTTGGCTGGTGGCACTTCCTCTCACGGATCTAATTGTTCTCTTGTGCTGCCCCTTCCATGTCAGATCCCGAGGTGTGACATTCCGTCTTTTCTTGTTCCGGGCAGGCTCTTCCCAGGACCTGACCCACTGTGGGCCCGTCTCCTCCGACAGGCCAGTCCACCCCAGCACCTGGCCTTCCATCCTCCCTGCCAGCCGCCACTCCCAGATCTCAGCTGCCCCCGCACCACATGGACATTGAAACACACCTTGATTTTTCCTTCACACCTCATTTAACATGTACTAAGGTGGATGCGTGTGTATGTGGCTGACAACGCAGGCCTCCCTCCCAGGTGCTCGTGTGGTACCAGTTACCCACTTCCCTCACTCTGTTGTGTCCGGGGGCTGCCATACAAATACCACAAACCGAGTGGCTTAACACGACAGAAGCGTATCCTCTCAGGGTGCTGGGGGCCGGAAGCCTGAGAGCAAGGTGTCGGCCCGATTGGTCCTCCTGAGGCCTGAGGGGGAGTCTGTCCAGCCCTCGCGGCTGCTGCGGCGGCCAGCGTCCTGGGCATGTGGCCGCTTCCCTCCAGCCTCGGCCTCCATTGCCGCCGGGCCTCTCAGGGTCTGTCCGGGTCTTCACCTGCCTCCTTATCGGGCACAGTCATTAGATTAAGGGCCGGCCTGCTCCAGAGCGACCTCATCTTAGTTCACCAGTGACATCAGAGAAGGCCTGGAGGTCACGTTCTGAGCGTCCAGGTGGACACAGACATTGGCAAGACTCACTCGGTCGAGTGGAGCCCGGACCACGCCTGCCCCTTCCTGCTGTGGTGTGAGCCACGCGTGCTCTCTCCTCTCAGTCACGCTTCCTCCTCGTCATGACTTATCATCTTCCTTCTTCCTTCAGTTATTTGCCAGCAGCACAGCTCGCAATGCCCTCCTCTGCCTCAAGACCCGCTGGGCCCACTGGCGCCACTGGCCATTCATTCTGGGTGAGTGGGCTCCTGCGGCAACGTTGCGCCCTCAGCGGCCACCAACATGCCTGGGCTCGGGCTGCGTCCTGGCCTCAGTCTCCACTCTCCACGGATCCAGCGCCCTTCACCTTCACGCTTCTACTCAAATGCCGTCCCTCCATGTGAGCTCGCCCCTGGCCACCACTCCCCCCTCCACCCCATCAGAACCGCCATCCCTCTGGGTGGTGCTAACGCACAGCCTGACACCAGTGGAGACGTGTGGCGGGCGACAGGACACTTTCCTGACAAACTCAGAGAGCGTCCAAAGAAGCACTTTCAAGACTCATGTCTCACATGTGCACTTCTTAACAGGGGCATTCCGAGTCACACCCACAGACCACGGCGTGTCCTCCACAGGGCGTTTCTCCCGGGACGAGGAGCCACCGGCCACCCACGTGGCGGCTCTGCCACAGCGCCCGCGTATACTGCTTCCCAGCCCTGCCCGATACTGGCCAAGTCCATGGCTTTCTTCCCGCCTGAAGCCCTGAATGGACGTAAAGAAATGAGGAACGCTGCTGTGATCCTATTCTTTACCACCAACTTTTTAAAAATGAGTTTTCTCTGGACCCTTATCAAAAAAGCAATAAGTATTATTCTAACAATTGTTCTTTACTTTCCCATAGGTACATAAACAAATACTTTTTTTCTTTTTTGTATTAGAGATGTTTACATTTGCACTTTTGTTCTTAACACGGAGACTATAAGAAAGGCTTAAACAGTTACATTTCGAGTCTCTTCTGTTGCCTTTTTACTGGAGGTATTGTGGTGTCACTGGTTAACAAAATGGTGCAGCATTCGGGTACACAGTCCCACAGCACCTGGAGAAGCAAACTTCTACCCCCTCATCCATCTCAGGAAGAGAACTCAATAAGACTTTCCTCTGCTCATCAAAATTGGTAAAATGTTTATCGTTTACTAAATCTTTCACCAGGAATTATGAGGAATAATTATTTTATAATAATGTGAATAGGAAATGCCAAATACAGCTCAAATGAAGCATAGTTATATGAGGCATATATACTCGTTGGTTTCCTCTTTTATCCTCATTTGATTTTTTATCTCATGGGATATATGTTTCTTCAACTCTATCTGTCTTTTTTTGTTCAACCACAAAATTACCTAAAGAAAACTACATCCCTAGCTTCTGTGTATATGTAGAAGATGGGCAAAGATTACTGTAGGAAAGAAACTGGAGAAAAGGAAAAGATAACGACTGACCCACCAATGCTCAGCTAACCCAAAAAGAACGAGTGCAGTAGTTGGAATTGAGCTGCACAGTTTCTTCCTCAATTTGCAGCATTTGGCCTTGAGGCAGGTTTGCACAGTGCAAACTGGATGATGATTAAGGGCAATCACACGGTCAATGAGGGCTTTTAGATGAGTCAGCGAAAGGAAAGCATTCCTGGGTCTTAGGTCTTAGGCTTCAGTTAGACATTTTGAATATCTGGCTTTATGGTTAATGATCCAACAACCCTCAACTTCACTCTTTATAGACTTTTTCAGTGCATTGAGGCACATCAACTAAGGTCAAACAAAAGTGTAGACGTAATGGTTTATTTAGTCAATAAGCATTTATTCAAAACCTCACTGCCTGAGGTATTGTGGAGGCTAAATAAGCTCTGAGCTTGACCTTGAGAACTTCAGTCTGTGATGCTGTCACCTACGTACAGGGCTGCAAACATCCCACGGTCACCGCTGACGCCAGGCTCATGTCGCCAGAACTGTGTTTCGCAGGCCTCGTGGGTGTCACAGGCGAGGTCCCACACACTGACACTCACCTTTCCCACCCACCTGTCACCACTGCAAACCAACAGCTCCTTTCTGAATCCCTGTGCAGAGTAATTTCATCTCCGGGAATGTGGTCTCTCACAATAGAAACCTGGGTGTTCTTCTCAACTCCTTCTTCGGGTTCATCCAAAAATCCAGAAAGTTCAGATCCTTTGATTTCTGCCTGTAAATAGCTCTTTATTCTCTTTTTCCCTCATCGGCTCTAATCTCACCTCCTGCATGCTCACCGCTCCTCTTCTCCAAAGCACCCACCTGTGCTGCACTCTGCTGGCTCCCTTCAGCCTGCGGGCCGATGCAGGTGACAGCGGCCATCAGAACCTGGCCCCCCCCACCCCACCACCCAGCCCCCAGTGCACAGTTCCCGTCACATCCAATGTCCTGTCCACCTTGGAGCGCGTTGTCCTCACAGCCCAGAAAGCCTCCTTCCATTTCCCCGTGGACGCCCTGCTAAGCCTCTCAGACTGAGACGCTCTCGGCGCAGCCCTCCCGCACCCCAGGCCAAGTTCCGTGTGTGCGTGTCTTTACGGTTGATTGTTAGTTACGTACTTACTCACATCCCTGCCTCCCGTGAAGCTGTGAGCATCGACCCGGGACTCTGGCTAACTCATCTTTGTTTCCAATACATAGAGACTCAACAATGTCTGATAGGGGAATCAACATGTAGGTATACTTAGGTTTTAAAAAGAAATCTGTGAAGCGGTATCTATAACAACACTTCTTAATCATAAGAAAGAAGGGTTTTTCGGGTTTTGTGGACCTAATGCCCTATTTCCATCCCCTTTAAGGCATATCGGGTCTCCTCCCACCACCTTCGTTTCCGCCATTCTAGAGAAGAATCCAAAAGGTCTTAGTGGACACAGTTGAAGAATCTTGTCACAGGACTTGTGACATTTGAAAGAGATACAATTATACTGTGAAAAGCCGAAGGGAAGAGAGGAAGACCGCTGGCCTGGGAATCCGCAGCCGTTTTGGAGATGCTGTGTTTGTGGGCCTGGCCTGGAGAGGGTCCGGGGGTCACACTAGGCTTCTCTTTAAATGGGATCCTCAGGTTCCCCGGTTCCACGTGAGCCCCAGGAGTTCCAGCTGGAAGTAGATGGAGAGGGCAGGTGTGGGTGTGGGGGAGTGAGAGTGATGGAGGCTGTGCGGGCCCGGGAGGCCCAGGTCAAACCTCGGAAGGAAGGTGGAGAGTGAGATGAAGCCTGTGCAGAAAGTCAGATCCTTAGGCAATCACTCGCTTACACCTTGTACCCTGTACTGGCCTGTCTGTCTGCTTTTTTTAGAAGGACGTTCATTAAAGCACAAGTTATCACAGACTTAGTGACTTAAAACAGCGCCCATTTAATAGCTCACAGCTCCATAGGCCGGAAGGCTGGTGGGTTGGCCGGGTTCTTGCCGAAGGTCTCACAACTGAAACCAGGGTGTCAGCCAGGGCCAGCTGGCTCTGACCTGGAGGCACGAGAACAATCTACTTGCAGGCTCATCCCAGTTATTGGCAGGAGGCGGTGCCTGTGGTTGTAGGACGGGGTCCTCAGCGGAGTTTATGAGGCCCTTTCCTCCTCAGAGCCAGGAAGGCAGCATCTCGCAAGGAAGACCCCCCGGCGCCCAAACCTCTGCCTGCCTGCTCCGCCGGCAGCTGGAGACACTGCTGCTTGAGGAGGCTGCCTGGTGATAACCCTTTAGCTTCCAGGGGGCTGAGCCCTGAACACGGCTGGTTTCCCCTTGTGAGCCCCGCCATATGCATCGGCCGGGGCTTCGCAGGACCGTTCACCACGCGCCCAAGGACCCTGCCCGCAGGGCAGCCGAAGCTCCTCTTGCAGCCACAGGGTCCAGGCGGCCTCGCTGCCCGGAGGCGCAGTGTGGGCAGGAATGGCACCTGCAGTTTCTCCTTTCCCACCGGGCATCTGTTTGCACCTGCCTGTCTCCATGAGCTTCACACTTGGGTTTTCCAGAACTTCTATTCAGTTACAGATTGGGCACACAGGAAGGGGAGGAGACGCCACCCGGTCCCTGTACAGATCTTCTCATGAACCCTTCTCTGTCGCTGTTTTTCCCTCATTTAGTCCAAAAAGCAAACCACCTGGAGCCCCTCCTGTAAGTGAGTGCGCAGCGGCCCAGCTGCGAGGCCTGGTGAGAAGGCTGCGGCTCCAGACCGCCCTCTGCGGGAGGCGGCTGGCAGAGGGAGGCCTGTCCTCTGAGGCCAGCCCCCCAACCGGTAAGCCCTGGTCCTCAGGCGCTGGGAGGAGGTCATGGGGGATGTGCATGGTGCAAGCGTCTTAGTCTGGGTCCCTCCGAAAGCAGACCCACAATGACTTAGGTTCCAATAGTTGACCTCCAGGGTGACCCAGGGAGGTGAGAGCAGGCAGGAGACAGACCAGGAGCTGAGCCGATGAGGGTGCGCTAATGAGAGGGTTACCGGGGCCAGCTGTAACCTGTGGGTCACACAGAGGACTTACCTGAGGAGGATGGAGCTGGGGTCCTTCGCCAACGGAGACTTGCGGCGGGACATGTAGCTGCCGCCCAGCCCTGCAGGCCACCGGGAGGAACCCTCCAGCCCAGACCAGTGTCCTTGCCCCGTAGACGCGCAGGCCGGCAACAGCTTCGCTGTAGCAAGTGTTACTGTAAATGCTCAGAGAACACCGTCATGTCAGAAACTGAGCACACACCCAGCAGGCCATCAACAAACTGATCCCGTGATCCCGGGAGGCGGGGGACCACGGTCAGCCTCCCTAATGATTCCAGAAATGTGCTTGCGGACACTCCGGGAAGCAATCAAGGAGAGCGCCACGCCCACCGCACGCCACGCCCACCGCACGCCACGCCCACACCTGGGTGCCAGGTCTGTGCGCGCAGAGGACCGGGAGAGAGTGGTTGTGCGGAGGCGGTTAAATCAGTCAGATTGTTAACTCCCAGGACGGAGCCAGGTTCCCAGCGGTTCTGTGCTGGAAGGTTGCATCGTATCATAGTTTCTTAAAGGGAAGAGGCTAGCATACAGCGTCACTGGAATTTGGTAAATGTGCAGAAAGGGATATTTTGAACTTTATTTGTCCATCACTTGAAGGACACGTGCGGGACTGGGGAAGCCGGAACGAACACCTGAGGGATGGTGTGCATTCGTGGTGTTCCTTTTCTGTTTAATCCAAGCTCTGCCTATTTACGCTCCAAAACATAAGAGAACCAACCACGCGTGCGTTCTAAATAGTGGGGCCTTGACTTACGAGTTTAATTCATTCCGTGACGGAGCTCGTAACTCAAATTACTCGTATGTCAAATCAAAAAGTGAAGAGTGAGACACGTGATGCTGGGCTGATTTTGTGGCGTTCACTGTGACGTTCGCTGCGCCAACTAGCGGTGGGGTATCTGAAGCTGGCTCGTAACCCGAATTTTAGCTCGCAACTCAAAGCAAAAAATCGGCCGAGAGACGGCTCGTATCTCGAAAAACTCGTTAGTCGGGACACTTGTAAGTCAAGGCCCCACTGTATCCCACCTGGGACGGCTCCGGGGCAACCTGTTCATGAGCTTGAAACCTGCTGTTCATTTCTAAATTCCAGTGTTTTCAGTACCTGGATTCTTCGTGAAAGTCACCATTTTAAATGTCACACACTGCCTCCTCGACCTGTATTGGGAAGGGGAGGTTCTGGAATGTTCTGACTTCAAGAAAGCCAAGCTTTCTGCTCAGGAAGCTAAGGTAACCTCCTAACACTTCGCCTTTTCTCCCTACGAAGCCCAGCCCACAGCTGTGCGGTGCGCGCAGGACCATCGCGGCCTCAAGCCGCAGGAGCGAGTCCGGCTCCCCAGCAGCATCGACTCCTGCACAGGTGCGTCTCCTCCCGGGACCGTCCCAGCGGGAGCCCCGGGCCCGCCAGGTGGCTGTGCCCCTGCCCACCTGAAAGGCAGCGCGGGGCCCCCACAGGAGCGCTGACGGCCCTGCCCGCCGTCCTGCGCACGTGTCCTGGGCTCGTGGCTCCGGCTGGGGAGCTGGACGTGGAGCCAGTCCCTCCACAGGCCTCTGGGCTGAGGGGACCGGTGAGGGCACGTGAGGCCGGGGGGCGCCCTTTCCTGACTTAGACAACGTAATCTGTGATCGGCGGGGAGGCGTAGTCGCGCTAGAACCACTTAGAAGGGGTGTAGAGACAAGCGATCTAGAGAGAGGTACCTTTTTTTATCTAAGATCAATGAAGGTGGAGAGCGATTTCTCTATATTTTATGTTCTGGTATTTTTTGAAAACAAAATGAGATTGTAAAAAAAAATCGTCTATACGCTATTAATTTTTTTTCTTGAAAAACGTCTAAAAATACAACCCCAGGTCTGCGTCGTCACCCTACCCTC